GGTGTGGAGCAAAGGGAACCCTCTTGCACTGTTGGTGGGAATGTAGATTGATACAGACGCTGTGGAGAACAGTAGGGAGGTTCCTTAAAAAACTAAAAATAGAACTACCATATGACCCAGCAATCCCACTGCTAGGCATATACCCTGAGAAAATCATAACTCAAAAGGACACATGTACCCCAATGCTCACTGCAGCACTATTTACAATAGCCAGGACATGGAAACAACCTAAATGTCCAATGACAGATGAATGGATAAAGAAGATGTGGTACATATATACAGTGGAATATTACTCAGCCATAAAAAGAAACGAAATTGAGTTATTTGTAATGAGGTGGATGGACCTAGAGTCTGTCATGCAGAGTGAAGTAAGTCAGAAAGAGAAAATCAAATACTGTATGCTAACACATATATATGGAATCTTAAAAAAAAAAAAAGGGTTATGAAGAACCTAGGAGCGGGATGGGAATAAAGACGCAGACCTACTAGAGAATGGACTTGAGGACACGGGGAGGGGGAGGGGTAAGCTGGGACAAAGTGAGAGAGTGGCATGGACATATATACACTACTAAATGGAAAATCAATAGCTAGTGGGAAGCAGCTGCATAGCACACAGAGATCAGCTTGGTGCTTTGTGACCACCTAGAGGGGTGGGATAGGGAGGGTGGGAGGTAGGGAGACGCAAAAGGGAGGAGATATGGGGATATATGTATATGTATGGCTGGTTCACTTTGTTATAAAGCAGAAACTAACACACCATTGTAGAGCAATTATACTCCAGTAAAGATGTTAAAAAAAAAAAAAAATACAGGCCCAATCCCTGAGAGTATGGTTTGATATTCTGGATTGGGTTTCCGGAATCTGTCATTACTTAAAAAAAAAAAAACAAAGCTTTCAGAACAATTACTTGCTTTCCACAAAGGAAAGAGGTACAGGCTTCCCTAGGAGATACTGCAGGTTCAGTTCCAGAACACCAGAATGAAGTGAGTATTGCAATAAAGTGAGTCACATGAATTTCCTGATTTACACTATACTGCAGCCTGTCAAGTGTGCAGTAGCATTGTGCAGAAAAAAACAATGTACAGACCTTAATTTAAAAATAATTTATTGCTAAAAAATACTAACCATCATCAGAGTCTTTAGCAAGTCACAGTAGTAACATCAAAGATCACTGATCACAGATCACCGTAACAGATGCAGTGATGGTGAAAAAGTTTGAAATACTGTGAGAATTACCAAAATGTGACAAAGACGCGGAGTGAGCAATATTGTTGGAAAAATGGCACTGATAGACTTGCTCTACACAGAGATGTGACAAACCTTCAATATGTAAAAAAAAAAAAAAAAAATTAGTATCTGTGAAGTGCAATAGAAAAAGGTATGCCTTTATTTCTAAAGCAAGCAAGAAAAAAAAACTGCCTCAAAAATCAGTTTAAAAAAAAATCAGTTTTGAGAAAGATTATTTATTGGTGTTTTTGTTGAACTGAAAGTCAACTGATAATCATAAGCTCTAGAACAAAATACAGGGTTTACACCTGTGGTGGATGGAGCACAGAAGACAATTCCCCAGCTCTGAAGCTAGGGGATGCATGTCTCTTGGGTCCTCTGAGGTCTAATCCTGCCATTCCTACCAAAGGAGTCAGCGACCGCAACCAGCTAGGACCAGGATATAAACAAGTGGCCAAGTTTACAACTCCTGGTGGGACCTCCCCGTGTTATCACTGATGAAATCTTGGCCAGGGAGCCCTAAACCGAACGTCTCCCAACACAGGAGTGGGAAGGGCAGCTCCACAGTGAAGGACAAGGTCCACCATGAAAAACATCGGTCATCGCAAAGGTGACAGGCTCCAAAGAGAACCCTTGCATTTCCCTTCTCCCTCTGTCTTCCCCATTCACCCAGATGGTCAGTCTCCACACCCAGAAACCAGTATCAACTCCTCTCTTCCCTCAGATCCCACGTTCGATCCATCACACAGTCCACTTGGCTCCACTTTGTTATCCACCCCAAATCCAACCATCTCACCATTTCCACCGCTAGCACCTTAGTCTAAGCCACCAACAGTCGAGAAAGTGCACAACTGTAAGAGAGAGTGAACACTGCATTTGGAGAACTGAAAGACCATCAATGTGGTTTTAGCTCTAAAGGAAAGAGGGAGAGCTGAGAAGGACAAAACTAGAAAGGTGGGGAGGGACCAGGATGTAAACTGCTTTGTAAAACCAACACTGACCAAGAGAGAAAAATTTGAGGCTATAGAAATTTACCAGAAGATACTGGTAAGTAAAGCATTAAACAAATGGACATATTTTGATAATGGCAACAAAGTTGATTGATTCACATCTATGGACGTTCACACCTGTGGATCAAGTGCTGATGGATAAAACTTAGGACTGAAGAGCTGACACGTCTGGCAAGTTTTGTCCTGCCTCACTGTTTCCCTAACCGACCATATATTGCAAGGTGACTGCAATACCAAAAACCAAAAATAAAACTCCAGGGTATATTTAGGAGAAAAGAATTTATTTGAATGGACCCCTAACTGAGCTAGAGATCAAGCCATCTTTCTGCTGCTGCCTCTAAAGCCTGGCAAGGGGCTTGAAACAGGTAGATTTCACAGCATCATTCGTTTATTGTGGAAGGAGGACACTTTTGGGGATAGTCTGAGAAATACAATGCTGCAATGCTGAGAGCTAAGAACAACAAAGTGATGGTAAAAAGTAGAACTAAAATGTTACTTTTCCCATTAGCATTCATTCAAGACCACAAAACGAGAGGGACTTCCCTGATGGCACGCAGTGGTTAAGACTCCATGCTCCCAATGCAGGGGGCCCAGATTCGATCCCTGGTCAGGGAACTAGATCCCACATGCTCTGCATGCTGCAACTAAGGAGTCAGCGAGCCACAACTAAGGAGTCCTCCTGCCGCAACGAAGACCTGGTGCAACCAAATACATAATTTTTTTTAAAAAAACACACAAAATGAGGGACTAAGGATGCCTGATGCTAAACGTTTCTGGAATTTAAGAGTCACTGTCCTGCAATCTTGGAATGTTACCTGATCCCTCATGAAAGTCTGCAGGAGAGGCCTGCTTCCTACTGTGATGTCCTATTCCAGATGACCAGACACACTGCTTGGAGCCCAGAGCATCCCTTTGGTTGGGGATGCCCCACTCCTGTCGTCTGCCTCCCCAGAGCTCACTCCTGTGCACGTCCAGCTCGGGGGAGTGAGGCTAAAGGCACTGCTTCAGTGCTGACACTCTGCTATCTACTCAATGCCCCCACTGATGATCCCATCTGACAATGAATGTGAAGTAGGATGGGAGGTGATATTCCAGAAACGTCCTAAGAAGTCAAGAGAGATAGTACCATTATCATTAAACATAAGGAAGTTTGGGTATTACTGATTATTACTTGTTTTTTTATGGACCATCAAATTCACTGGTTAAATAACTTCATCTGTTGCCTCCTATGCATTATATGCAGGCATTCTTTATCTGTTTCATTACTAATCAGCATCACTGGATACTGTGGTGTCTCCTGACAGTAGTTATACCATCCATAAGATGAGTGAAATCAGCTCACTGTCACAGGCTACAGGTTAACCTTAAAATACCCTGCATTCCTTGAGATTATATGCAGCCAAAGGTTTTTTCCTTTAAGGGATGATTCCCTTATCATTTTATGAAGCCACACCCTAACATTTATTGAAACTCAGCAGGGAAAGAACAAAGAAAGAAGATGAATGAGAGAGAAAAGTAATAGAGGGAGGAAGGAAGGAAATATTAAATTACTAAGGAAGAAAAAGCCAATCAAACCTTGAAGGAAGATACTAGACAGATATCCAGAGGCCCAAGCTTTGTGTGCAGAGTCCAGATTTACTGTGTGAGACTTACTAGTTGTTTATATGCAGTATCTCAGCCCCTGATCCACTTTTGTTTCTGTACTCTCATCTGTGATGCAAAGGCTGGGTCTCTGCAAATCTCATGTCAGAAGACCTTTGGCCAGCTAGCCTCTGTTAGGTTTTGTCAGTAGGGGGCACTAGAGGGAGACTGAAGGTGGGAATCAGAGCTAATGGTCTACCTGGTTTCTGCTGCTCCTGCAGCATCATCTCAGCAGTGGGACCTGACTCCAGCTCCCAGCTTCTATTAGCACATGGAGAACTAGCCTCATTGTGCTCCCTCACAAATATGGCCAGCAACTAGGCAGTGACCTCTCCTTGGAAGTCTGAGCACTGACTCTTTAGAGCCTCTTTTCTGAGTTCTTAGTTCTGGAGATCTGTCCTGGGACACAGTAGCTGCTTCCTAAAATTACTACCCCAGTGTTTCATTTTTCTAGCCCTCCAATTCCTGTGTAACAAATTTCCTATATTAAATCCTTTCTGTTGAAATACTTTGTTTTTCTCACTAGGCCCTTTCTTCTCATGGACTCCCCTCTGACAGCAACAGCTGAGAAATTCTGCAACCTTAGCCAACAACCTCATGGCAGTCTACATGAAAGGCTAATTTTTTGATTAAGGGAATCCAAAAATGCTGAAACAATTGTGACACAGCCAAGATGACCATCTTCTACCTCTCTGAAATATGAAGCCATAAGTTGGGTTTGGAATATTTTCATGGTTGGCCATCTTAAAAAAATGACAATTTAATAAACTTTTAACTCATTAAGGACCAGAGACGTATGTCTTTTATTATCTGAACATCATCGACCAGAGACATTTCAATATTCACTTACATAACAAATCGCCAGCCACAGGTGTTAATTTCTGCAAAAATCCCCCAGTCAGTAATGTGTTAACATGAAAATATGAAATTACTGGATATAGTATTTAATAGCACATTGTGAAAGTATAGTTAAGTACTTGAGTTATTGTCAGGAATGAGAGGAGAAACTAAGAGAAAATTAAATTATTGGAGGTTCCTTCCTATCAAGTTTTACAAGGAAGGATGTGTTGAAAAATTGAACATAAATGGAAACAAGTGAAATTCCACAGGTGAAGGTCTTACCATTATCCTGTCGCTGTCAATAATGGTGGTCAATCTGTTTGTGATGGTTAGCACAGTGCACTGAACAAATTTCTCATGGACTATTTTTGTATTAACTCATCAGTTCTGGAATCAGAAAAGTTGATTTAGTTCAGTATAGACAGGAAAAGTGGACTTAAGACTTTAAAATATCATGATATATTATAATGTTTTTAAAATCAATATTTCAAGACATAATCTTTTTCCTAAAAAAACTAAGTATAAAAAGTCTTAGAAATTTACTATTTTTCATAAAACAATGGAAAATAGTCTTCCCTCAAAATTGCTTGAAACTATCAGGAGCTGGATTTAGGAATCTAGCTCTCATAGGATGCCTAGTAACAACATTAACACCATATAACATGCTTTGGTTTCTTCTTTTGTTTTCTGGAATTAATGTTAACAAGAGACATCTTTCGGGCAAAGAGAACACTTAGAAACATTTCTCAGCATCACTAAATGTTTTCCATTTACAACACTTAAATTTTGGATACCAGGTTTCATGGACCTCAGCTCCATACCTTGGGTCCACATTTGATGTGGCTTTGTCAATAATCAATATCTGACTTTTCCTGAGAATAGTCCTAGCAAGACACACCAGTTGTCTCTGTCCAGCACTGAAGTTCGATCCTGATTCTGCTAATTCAGTATCCATTTTGCCAGGAACACTTTTGATGGCTTCTTTAAATTATACCTGTGGATACAGAAAGAACATTTTTCCTGAACAAACTGCTACTGAAGCAGACACTCCTCTTAGACATTAGAGCTTTGAAGTCCTCATGACTTCTTACGTATCTTACATGTACAGCCACGTGATGGGGAGAGCTATTTCCAATTAGCATTCACTGAGAAAGATGTAGAGTCAAGTCAGGACAGGAAAATATCAGTGTCCCCCTTCCCTGCCACATGACACCTACCAGAAACCCCACCTAAGGATTAGTTAAGGAAGTTTCTCAAAAAATGAAGCTATTTCTCCCAGTGTGGTTTAAATGGAAAAGTTAAAATGATTTTATGGTTGAGTCAAGTTTACCAAAGTACATTTTGCATATGGGTTGGTACATTAAAGGGAAACTTCAAAAAAATATATATATATACATATATATATATATTACGGGAAGTATGGTTCTTTTAGATATAATCTTATCAGCACTTTACAATTTTGGAAGGTCTAAAAGTTTAAAAAAATACGAATTCAAACAATGGCAAACTGCACCTCATACATTAGTAATCCTGGGGCCTATTCTGGTAATGGTTCTTTCCCAAGTTTAATCTCATAAATACTGGACCAGTTAAGTGCATTTTCTTCAATGTCAAAAATGTCTTGCAGTGAATGAAAATCCATGAAAAACAGGATACAACATAACATCTTATTTCCCCCAGACTATGGGTATAGGTGGTGTTTATATTAATGTATCTTCATAAAACTGTAATCATAAGATAAAAAAGAAAACCAAGCTTTCAACTTCCGAAGTTAATCTGAAAGTACATTGGGTGGTAGGGATCAATTCAACGAATATTTATTTTAGAGAAGTACTACAGAACAAGAACCAAACTCAGGCTGTATTTGAAGTTAAAGAACAAAGAGTAAATACATTTCAAATTAAGACACCAACAGATTGATGAGTGATGGCCAATGATCAGGGACACAATTATAGTGTCAAATAACAAAACACCAAGGGTGAGTGGGCAATATTTTCGTGGTATCCTAAATGCTGAAGCACTTCTATGAATGTGATCCCAAACTGTGCTCCTGTTGAAGTCCAATCCCAAGAAAGGGGAATTCAGAGTTAGGATTAAATATGGTATTCGTATTTAGTGACTGCATGAAAAGTACAAAAATCTAAAGGGTAAGATTTGTATTGTGGTGCAAGTGGGTTGGTGTTTCTTAAAACTGACATCCTGACTTTGAAGAAATAATTTTACACTTGCCCCTTACTGGGATGGCATCTCATCACTAATCTGGTTTTTTACTTTCCTTCCAGTTGTCCATATTTGCCTCATGAGGAATAAGGGTTGTGAGAAGCAGTGTTTTTCAGAAAATACTGTTTTCTGAGATTCTGTCTTCATTTATGAATCAGGGATGGTTATGAGAATAATAAGAATATGAAGGCTTTCTATAGTATAATCATATATTCAAGTTATTGGTTTGGCCAAAAAGTTCATTCGGTTAACGAATACATCATTCAATAAAGGTCTTGGTGAACATGAAAAATGTCTTTTATTTTTACTTAAAACTGAACTAACTTTTTGGCCAACCCAGTATAATTTAATATTAGAATGGAAAAAAACACAATAGAGTCAGTAGACAGTAATAACTAGGAGTTACAACTGGAGAATCTGAAAACAGATAATAGTGTGATATTACTATTAAATTTCTTGATTTAGAAAACTGTGTTATGTGAGAGAATGTCCTTGTTCTTGCAAGGTGTATATTTATGTATTTAAAGGTGAACTGCAACTTTTAATAAACATTTCTACAACTTACAAGCAGTTCAGCAAAATATATGGAAGAGAGGAAGCAAATGTGGAAAAATATTAACAGCTGGTGAATCAAGGTGAAGGTGCATATGTGTTCATCATACTACTCCTTCCATGTTCTTGTGATCTGAAAATTTTAAAACAAAAAAATTGGAGCCTTGCAGCCAGACAGCCTGGGCATAAGTCCTACCTGGCTCTGCCAATTGGGCAACTTCCTGAAGTTTATCTTAGCTTCCTAAACTCTAAATAAGACTATAGTATAATAAAGGTGTTTACCTCCTAACATTGTCAGAGTATAAAATGAGTCATTATGTGTAGAATTTACAACAGTGATTGATACAAAGAGATCAACAGATATTGCCCATTATTAATAATGCTGTCAGCTAGCCCCTCTTCCTGTTCTGCTTTATTTTTCTCCTTTGCAAGTATCAGCACTGAGACTTTGTTACATATGCATTGGCTTGTTTTCCATCTTCCCCAGGAGAATTTAAGTTCCAAAAGGGTAGAGACTTTGTTTCTTTTAATGACTGTGATAACCCCAGAATCTGAAACAATGGCTGTCTAGAAAGCTCTCAGTAGATATTTGTTGGCTGTATGAATGAAGCCACAAGTTCATCTCTTCTTGTGACATGTCTGTTCCTATAAATTAGAAAATAAATCCATATAAATAGATAATTTATATATAACACTATTTTCTTATTAAATATAAGTATAAAAGGAATATATTATTAAACAACTGGCTCCAAGATATCATAACATCATACTTTAAACTGTGGAAAGAACTTAAAAAAGTTATAATTTAAGGAAAATGGAGCATATAATACTATTAAAAACTATACAACTCAGTATAGAATACTTCAGATCTTTTTTGAGCTTTGGAAAATAATAAACTATAGCAAAACTGAAAGGTAACAAACTGAACTTATGGGGGCTTCCCTCGTGGTGCAGTGGTTAAGAATCCGCCTGCCAGTGCAGGGGACACGGGTTCAAGCCCTGGTCCGGGAAGATCCCACATGCCGTGGAACAACTAAGCCCGTGCGCCACAACTACTGAGCCCGTGCCCTAGAACCCGCGAGCCACAACTACTGAAGCCCATGCGCCCAGAGCCCATGCTCCACAACAAGAGAAGCCACTGCAATGAGAAACCCATGCACCACAATGAAGAGTGGCTCCCGCTCACCGCAAGTAGAGAAAGCCCGGGCGCAGCAACGAAGACCCAATGCAGCCAAAAATAAAATAAATAAAATTTTAAAAATATATAAATAAACTGAACTTATAGGGTACCTTATTTCTATCATCATAAACATTTTCAAAGTAATCTGCGTGTACTGTATCTACCAACCAGGTGCCAACGCCCCTCATAGGAAGTTAACACAGATGTCAGATGGTTTTCACATTTTATGGAACGTTCTTTTCAAAAAGAAAGGCTGGTGTGGGCTGGAAAGAGAGAGTGAAATGCAGTCAACAGATGGGGAAGAGATTTTAGTAGAGCAGAGCCAGCAGTAAATGAAGTAAAAGGAGAGCCTGCTCACCTAAGTACAAGGCCCAGAGAAATGGAAATGTGACCTGTCGCCAAAGCCAGGACTGAATCACGTGGTTCCTGATGCACAGGCTGCAGATTTCTGTATCTTGGTTTTCAGTATGATGAGACATACTTGTGTCCTAACAGAGGATCAACGTATCAACATAGAACATAACAGTGATTTCTTCACAGTTTTGACATGACATAGCACTCTCAATTGTAAATCCCAGTATCTAAGCTGTTTTGTTTTTTTTAATAGAAGCAACACATCGATGATTCATTTCCAGAGTTTTATCTGCTGTGCTCTTTTAACCTTTGAGTGATAAAGTGCTTCATCTTCTTCACTCACTACTTACGCTATATTTGTAGAGCTGCCCTTGCTTTTCAGGTGCCCTAATTGGCACCAATTTCTGATGAACTTTCTTCAGTTTACAGTCAGCTGGCTATTCTTCAGTATAAGAAAAACATATTTCAGCATATTTTGAAAAGTAACCAAGATGAGACGGGCACCATTATTAGGACTGTCTCCCTTCTGAATGTCCATCTCCACCAAGGGAGAAGGAGGAGACAGAACTAAGAGGACCTAAAAAAATATTTTTAAAAGCATCTTTTTCTTTTAATTGAAGTTCTTAAAGAGGAAAACATAGTGGTGCTCTCTCACTTGCAGGCCAACTCTATGAGTTTGGGTTCACATGTCTAGTTTGGCATCATTTATTAACCAATGACTGGAGTTTTTTAGTTCACTTAAAAACTGACCTCATTAAAAAAAAAAAAAATTGACCTCATTGCTTTAGTGCAACGTCTTAGAGTGAGAAATCATCCCATCATTCTGTTTCTCTGGGAATTATTTCTTTATGACATATTTGTATGTTTTTCAATAAAAGATGTGGTAGGTTTTATTTTAAAAAATCATAAAGAAACAATTCCTAGACAAAATGATGGGATGATTTCTCACTCTAAGACATATCAGTAAAGTAAATAGGGTCAATTCCGGAAGCAATACATGGAAACCACACACTTCACTTTGTGAAATAAACTCATGTTTCTTTTTACAGTAAGTTCCAAATGTGGTTTAAATAAAGGCAGATCTCAGTGTTGTCTACCACTTCCACCACCTCATCATTTTTAGAATTGAGAGGCTACTAAATTTTAGCTAAATTTTGGCTCCTACAGATGAATTAAGTATAAGTTAGGGCCCAGTTCTAAGATAGTTTTTTACAGGATTTGTCTCCCAATTAACATTTCCTCTCTGTCCAAAATTCTAGAGTAATTTTACTACCTGAGACTCTGTTAAGAGAGATCTCGAGCTTGGAAACAAATAGGAAAATAATTTACCAGTACTTCCAGTTTTGTTTTTTTTTAAGATGTCACAGTTTCACCATTAAATCTGTTTTGTGAGTTCAAGAGCAGTGGATCATCCTTCTTTCTTTATATTTAATGGTTAACTGCTCTCCCCACCTCTTCTCTTCTAGAATTTCACTGTAGAAAGACTCATAAGCTTAAATGAAATCAGAGGTCCACTGCTTCTCAAGTAGGAGAAGGTGAAGCAATCAGCCTGATTTAGGAAAATAAAATCCCCACAGTTGCTGGAAAGAGGGGTAGTTTGTAAAGACTCAGTGCCGACATGCCTTCAGAAACCAGAATTCCCTGCAGGAAATTGTCAGGCCTCCAAATCTGCTTGCTCACAG